TGTCGTTCTCTCTCTCGCTCTCGCTTTCGTTCGTCGTCGTCGTCGTCGCCGCCGTCGTCGTCGACGACGTCGTCGTCGTCGTCGCGGTCGGTCCCCTGTCCGTCCCTCTTGGGGTCGGGCTGCCGCCGATCAGCGCTGCTGCTGGCCAGGCCGACGGTCCGCGGCCGCCCCGCCGCTTGCCGGGGCCCGGCCTGCAGGGAAGAACAGTATACCCCCCAAAAGGGGTACGATCGAAGACGAAGAGGGCGGGTGTCGAGGGTTTGGGAAATACGCGTCAATGGACACTCGAGCAGATAAGAGCAAACAGTCTTAAAATGATTGTTGTTGTTGTTGTTGATGTTGTAACTCGGGGGCCAGGGGCTCAAATTGAGCACGACGACTTTCCCTGATACAAAAACCGGGTGAGAGCCCCGGGAGGAGCACTTTGATTAAAAAACACAGCTGTGCACCTGTCGGAGGGATCAGTATTGATTGTTTTTAAGAATGAAAACTCAACACGACGACGGCAGCGTTGTCAAAGACAACGACGATCGACGACGACACACCACAGATGACAAATGTTGACGAAGACGATGCAAGATGATCTATGACGCCAATGATCGACGATCGACGACAGACGGCGGCGGCGGTGAGCTCCCCAGACCTTGTACGGATCGAGTTTCTGTCAGTCTGTGGACCTCAAATGTCTCGACCCACCCCTCCTTAACGGCACGCCTAAATATCAACACCTCCGACGCCTTACTTTGTTTTTTTTCCAATGCCGTCTAGGCCCCAAGACCGTCAAAAACGATAGACGAAAAACCGGCCCTGGAGCAGATCCGGGGGCTGCGTCTGTCTAAAGCGGCGTCGGATGCCCGGAAAAGGAGGCGGCCCGCTAAGGAGGGGGGGGGCTTCTCTGAAAAGAGGCCGGGTGCTTCTCAGAAGGCCTCCTAGAAGGAAGGACGGCACCGAAGGTAGAACAACGGAAACGGTAAGCATGCGCACAACTCGGCCGACCACCCCCTTGGGCGGGGGGGAGGGACGGGCGTGTGAGACATCTGACTGCCCCCCTCCCCCTTGCCCCCTCCCCCGAGGGTCCAAAATCGCGTTCGAGGGGGCTGGGGGGTCGGGGGGGTCCCCCGAGCTGCACGCCCGGAGCCTCCAGGGCCTGCAAGTCCACGATCCGCGGCCGCCAAGGTCCAAAGATGCTCTCAGAGATGGCTCCCGAAGGGCTCCAGTGCGGCGGAGGGGCCTCAAAAACACCCACGGTAGCTTCAAGACAGCCGAAGGCGCTGACAAAAAGCTGAGGACCCCCCCGAGGGCCTCAAGGGGCAAAACACATTGACTTCCCATTTTTGTTTGGCATCATGCTCGCGTTCTCGGCTCTCTGGCGTCTGCGCGCTCAAGGCGGCCCAAGAGGCCCCCACAGACTGGCCCAAGCCGGCCCAAGAGACCCTTGACACAGCCCAGGGACGGCCAAGAAGGGCCCCAAGACGGCCCAGGAGGCCCCCAGCAAGGCACAGAACACGTGCAAGCGGCCCCAAGAGGCACAAGAGAGGGAACCCGCAGAGTCCCCGAGAGCCCCCTCCCAGAAAATGACCCCCAAGACCCCCGACGGGCTCCAAGAGGCCCCCAACAAAAACCTTGGGCGAAGCTTAATGGGGGGAAAAAAAATGGGGGGGGTCAGAAAAAGTCCCCTTTCGTGCCCCGTTCGGGCCCCTCCAGAGCCCCAAGGGGCTCGTTTAGGTACCGTTTGGGTACCTTTTCGGACCACACTCGCCGCCCCCCCATTTATGACACCCCCATTACGCAGCCCCCAACAAAAACCCAGAGGGCCCCCCCCCCCCCCCCCCGGGAGCCTCGACAAGAACCCCGAGAGGCCGCCACCCGGGCCGCCCGCGGGGCCCCGCAAGTGCCCTCCCCAGCGGCACGAGGGAGGCCTCAGACGGAGCCCCAGCAACATTACAAACCGTCCCACTGTCCTCGAGATCCTCCCCCTTGTCCACCTCCCTCTCACCGCCGTCCTGATCTGCTGCATCCTCTTCCTCCTTGTTCCTCACGTTCCGGATCCCACGATGACAAAGTTATAGCGACCATCCGTGACGTCACTCCGGGAGCATCTCGCTTCCTGCGCGACGCGCAGCACACCTCAGCGCCCCCTCCCGAGGAGCGCAGGATAAGCGAACCCCATGAGCGCAGTGGCGACTGCGCGGCGGCCACTCCTCCCACGCACGTGGGCACTCGAAGGCATCCCATGCGCGCGACGTCGTCCAAGAAGCGGCCAGCAAGCGCCCAGGAAACTCTGACGAGGCTTCAAGATGCCCACCAAGACGCCCACGGGGCCTCACTTCGTCTGGGGCTCGGCGACATGGTGCAAGCCTCTTGAATTCTTGGACCTTCGAGGCACTATGTTTATGCAGTTTGTTGACCTTCAATTCTCAGACGCCTCTTAGAAGACAAGGAGGGCTCCTAAGAGGCCCTCTGCTTTGCTAGGAAGCCCCCCCCCCCTCTCGCGCCGCCTCCTTCTGCGCGCAGCCGACCCCTCCACTCGGCCAGCCTTTCGTCCGGGATCGTCGCCCGATGACCCCAGGCCCGAAAGCGGGCCCTGGGAGGAGGCAGACCCTGACATCTCACGTCGCGACAGACTGCAACACCGTGGCACACCACGACCCAGGCCTAGACCCCGGATCGACACGTGATGATCCTGGGGCCCGAGACCTGGCGAAAGCGTACGGTCTCACGAAAATTGCAACGCCCCGATCTCGAGGGAGACGAAAGAAAAGCGCGCTGGGATCGGAAACAGGTGCGCAGATCCGCCAGAGGTCTCTGGACCTTGGGCGCCGCCCAGAGGTCCACAGACCCGTCTCTGCAGGCCCCTCTGGAGGCCCCTGCGGGAAGCCCCAAGCTGTGGCAAGCGTGCAGGAAGCTTCCGTCCTCGACTCGTGGCCCTCGCGATCCCCGGACAGCGACGACGTTAATCGACGACCTGCGACGATCGACGACGACGACGACGACGACGACGACGACGACGACGACGACGACGACGACGACCGACGACCGACGACGACGACGACGACGACGACGACCGACGCCGACAAAGCCTTCCAGAGGCCCTGCGAGGGCCTCCCCAGACGTCCGAAGCAGTGCTTTTTCCTCAATCCGTGGCCTCAGGACCACTCTGACCCCCAAGGCAGCGTTTGATTACTGATCGTTCTCTACACCATGCGAAATGCTTAAGAAATCATGGGTTAAGAAATTCATAGTCTCAGAAACTGAATAAAACCCAGAACTTCTATCAAAATCTTGGGATTTACATTGAAAAAGTTAAGAATAATCGAGACTCTGGACGAAAACTTAGGTTTTCTTAAGCATCGCCTAATGTGTACATGGCCCTGGAGAAGAGAAAGCCTCCGACGGCCCTCCGGAGAACGAGACGGAGGAAAGAGCCAGCAACGAAGTAGGCACGACACCGGAGGTCTGTGTCCGAGGGCTTCCGAGGGTGAGCGTCGAAGGAAGGGGGGGGGATCAGGGGTGGAAACGGTGGCCTGACGTGGGACAACACAGGCGATACATCGCGATACATACCAAGGCGAATTTTTGGCGAAAAATGAAAAACAACAATATGAAAACAAATGCCTAAAAATAGCCTGAAAATATTGGAAAATCGTCCCCCGACTATTTCCTTACTATTTTTCAGATTTCTCCTGTAGAGGGACAGGCCCAATTTAACCCTGATGGGCAGGGCCACCCAAGCCCACATCGGCGATGAATGGACGACTTTAGATGGCGATGACCCCTCGGCGTTGGACAAACCTCCCTTTAGCAAACCTTCCTTCAATGAAAACGGCTTGGGACCGAAGCCGGCGGACCTGGACCCGCAAAAATGACAGCCGCGACGCCCTCTCGCGAACCGAAAACGGCCAATTCCTTAATCGACGTGTCAGGGTAGGCGGGCTGTCCACCCCCGAACCCCCCTCTCAGCCGATCCCTCTCCTGTCGCCACCCGTCGTCGTCGTCGTCGTCGTCGTCGTCGTCGTCGTCGTCGTCGTCGTCGTCGTCGTGGTCGTCGTCGTCGTCGTCGTGGTCGTCGTCGTCGTCGTCATCGTCGTCGCCGCCGTCGATCCTCGTCGTCGGCCGATGGTCTCGGAGGGCCCATGGGGGCCTCTGAGGACCCCGCCCCAGGGCCCCCCGCGAGGGCCCTATGGAGCCGGACCTAGGACAGAGGAACATCCTCGAAGAACACGAGACCCTTCGCTGGCCACAGCACACAGAAGATCCTGGGGTATCCTCTCCGGGACGCACAGGAACGTCCAGCAAGCACGAAGAACATGAGGGTACCCTCCCCGAACCGACCTCGATCTTGTACATCGGTCCGACAGTAGCTTGCCGTCGCTCGGACGTCCATTCCCTGTGCGTTTTTCGGTTTTGTGCGTGTTTTCTTGCTCGATGCCGCCTGAGGCCCCGCCTTCCTGTACCCTGTCTCCCTAATTAAAGCTGTGCGTAGCCCGCCTAGCTTTTAGCGGAAGAGGTTCGCGCCCGCCCCGCAGATCAAAAAAGTGTTTTCTTGCTCGATGCTCCAGGATGCTCCTCGATGGTCCTCGCCGAGAAAAAATGCACACGTCCGAGCGATGCCAAGGTAGAGCACCCCCGACGGCCCCCCATGGGCACCCCGGGGGCCCCGGAGAACACCCGAGCGCTCCCCGTGCGCCCCCGCGTCCCCGTCGTCGCCACCGCTGTCGTTGCCTTCGCCGCCGCCGTCGCCGTCGCCGTCGTCGCCCTCGATCGCCGATCGCCGATCGTCGTCGTCGTGGCCGATCGCCGATCGTCGTCGTCGTGGCCGTCGTCGATCGTCGATTGCCGATCGTTGTCGTCATCGTCGATCGTCGTCGTCGTCATCGTCGATCGTCGTCGTCGTTGTCGTCGCCGCCGTCGTCGTCGCCGCCGTCGGCGTCGGCGTCGGCGTGGGTCCTCGTCCCTCCGAGAGGAGGCTGCCGAGAGGAGGCCGGCGGCCGGGGGCGCGCCTGCTCGCGCTCGGGGGCCGCCGCCGCCGCCGCCTCGCCGGCCTCCGCGATGACGGGTTGCCTGGCGGCGTTCGTCGTCGTGGTCGTCGAGGCCGGGGGAGGAGGCGGAGGAGGAGGCGGAGGAGGAGGGAGAGGAGGGAGAGGAGGAAGGAGGAGGAGGAAGGGGAAGACGAGGAGGAGGAGGAGGAAGAGGATGAAGAGGAGGAGAGACGAGGATGATGAGGAAAGGGAGGAGGAGGAGGAGGAGGAGGAGGAGGAGAGGAGGAGGAGGAGGAACCCGCCGCAGAGAGGGGTCAGGGGAAGGGCAAGCGGCACCCGTCGACAGCGGCGCCTCCAGAGGGGTGAGCCCAAACCCCAGCGGTAGATCGAGGGTGCACGGCAGCGACAGGCCAGAGGGGCACCACGGGCGCTCCCGACAGGTCTGCTGGCATGCGGGCAAGGCGAATCAGGAGAGGAGGCGCGGGAAGAGCAGCAGGAGGAGCAGCAGGAGGAGGAGGAGCAGCAGGAGGAGGAGGAGGAGGAGGAAGAGGAGGAGGAGGAGCAGGAGGAAGAGCAGCAGGAGGAGCAGCAGGAGGAGCAGCAGGAGGAGGAGGAGGAGGAGGAGGAGGGAGCAAGTGGAGCGTGGACGGGCAGCGGCGGCCCCTGCGAAGCATAAAAACCTTGGGAGCGAACCGCCGCCTCAGAGCGCGAAGAGCGTGAGCAGGATGTGGGCGAAGGCGGCCCCGCCGGTGCCGCCGAGGATGTGCCAGATCATCATCTCCTGGAAGCCCGCCGCGGGCTTGTCGCCGGGCTTGTCGAAGAGGGTTGGCTTGAGGGTGGTCCCGAGAAGCAGGCCACCGCAGCTCGCGATGATGATGACGGCGATGCCGGAGAGCATGCCGACCGTGGCGGCCTCCGGCGTGTTGCGCAGCGGGCCGAGGGACACGAAGGGGCCGATGATGAAGTAGCCGTGGGCCATGCCGATCTCCAGCCCGCGCTGCCATGGCTTCAGGCCCTGGCGGTAGAAGGCCAGGTTGTCCAGGAACTGCTGGCTGAAGGCGCTGTCCCGGACGGCGGTCTGGATTTGGTCGCCGGAGAAGCGCTCTGGGCCCTGGAAGTTGATCGTGAAGCCGGCGTCCCACCAGCCCGCCGGGCCCGGGATCTGCAGCGGAAGCTTACCAGACATCATCAGCTGGAAGTCCTCCTCGGTGACGAAAGGGTCCTCGACCTCTCCGGCGTCGGCGGGGAGGCACTGGTTCTTGATGTAGGCGAAGTCGGAGAACCTCATCTTGGTGGCCTTGCCAGGCCCGTAGGTCTCCGAGAGCAGCTTGATGACGTAGAGCGGGCTCTCCTCCGAGGGGTCGTCCCACTCCTCCACCGGCGTGACCGCCAGGATCCTATCCAGCGTGGGCTTGTCGACGAGGGAGCGCGGGATCCCCTCCAGGTATGCGGGCCCGGTGATCGCCCCGCCCTTCTCCGCAACCTCGATCTCCTTGCCCTCTGCGCGGCGGGAGACGCGGGTCACGGACCTGGTCATCGCCGCGAACGCAACGCCGAAGGCAACGCCGAAGCCGAGGAGGCCGTTGGTGCCGAGGGAGCCCTGGAGGGGGGTGGCGGGCTGCGCAGCCGAGCCCTCGAGCAAGCCAGGCCGCACGACGGCAGGCCCCGCCCGGGCAGCGCCGGCCTGCTGCCTGCAGCCCTGGCCGACGGCGAAGGTGGTGGAGCCAAGGTGCACGGCAGACACCGCAGCCAGGGTCGCGACGGTCGCTGCAGCCAGCCCGCGGAACGACATCGCGGCGGCACCGCCCGAGACCCCACAGCTCACTCGAGCACTTGAGCCCAAATGGCTACGGAGAGGAGGAGGAGGAGGAGAAGGAAGCGGCAAAGGAGGAGGACGACGACGGCGGTGACGACGCGACGACGGAGTAGAACAGCAAACGGCGACGACGATCCACGACGATGGCAGTCGACGATCGACGACGACGACGCCGACGACGACGAGGAGCTTCTGCCGCTGTGCCAGGGCAAGGCGAGATGAACTTGACTGCACAGGGCTGCACTGGACGGAGCGCGGGTCAGCTGGGCTGAATTCGGCCGAGCTTGACTGAGGTGGACTGACCTGGGCTGAGATGGATCTTAGCTGGGCTGATCCGCATTGCGCTTGGATGAGCTGGGTAGAGTTAGGTCGGGCATGTCCCCCTACAGGCGGATTTTGGGTGAAAATTCAAAAATATTCCAAAACAATGCCCCAAAAGATTCCAACAATCATGGGAAAATCGTCCCCAGATTATTTGCTGCCTATTCTATTTTTGAATTTTCCTCCTGTAGAGGGACAGGCCCGACTTAAGGGTAGATCAGGACAGAGCTTGACCGAGGAGCACTGACCTGGCTGGTACAGGCTGAGCTGAGCCGACTCTCGGCGTGCCGGGCCGAGCTGGACCGCACCGAGGACCGCGCAGGGCCGAGCTGGTCTCCGAGCCAGGCTGAACTTGACTCAGTCGGACCGCGCTGGACGGGGCTGTTTGGAGCGAGGGGCTGCCCTCCTTCCCGGCCGCTCCGCAGGAGGAGCGCCTGCAGCTGGGTGTACTTTGGGGGGGGGTCCAGCAGCCAAGCAGAGGAGGAGGAGTCCGCTGCCCCTCAGCTCCTGCAGCTGGGCATCATGTGGTTATCCACTGGATCTCCTCTATCCCTCCTCGTCTTGGGGCGGGTCCCATGATGATCGCGAACGCAATCCAAAACCACAATCTCCTCTTCTCCTCCTCCTCCTCCTCCTTCTCCTGAGGTCCCTGGAGGCTGAAAGAAAAAGACCAGCAAGAATTCCACGCATTGATCATCCAGACCTCGATGCCGTGACGTGTTCAATACGAAGTTCCTGGGTCTCTTGAGCCATTGTGTGGGGTCGTGGGGGGCCGTTTTCCGAATATGGTCCATGCACGTTGGAAACTGCGGGGACATATGATAGTTCAAGACCTCCCCCAGAAGTCTCGACCCATTCATTGGGGCGGGCAGTTGTGTCCAGGATAGCTTGGATGGCCCCTGGTGCCGACACGGACATCCATATGCCGAAATCGAGGAAAAGCCACCAGCACTCAAGGAAACAAGACGTCGATCAGACCTGCTCAGCAGAGGTGAATCCTGCTCAGCGCTGCTCAGTCTACCCTGCCCAACTCTGCGCAACTCAGCCCTGGTCGATCCAGCAGATCTGAACCCCACTCAAATCCAATCTCAAACAATGCAGCTCAACACAATTTAGGCCTGCTCACCCTGCTCAACTCAGCACAGCCCGCTGCGGCCCGGTCTATGCCATTCTAGCTCAACCCATCCCAGCTTAGGTCACTCCTCCCCATTTAGCTTAGGCAAACTCAGTCCAGCTCAGCAGCTCAGCACAGCTCAGGCCAGCCCAGTCTAGTCGAGCCCATGATAATCCAGCCCCGTCCAGCTCAGCCCAACTCAATCCAGCTTATCCTACATGGGCCCAGTCTGGCTCTTACCACACCAGCCTAACCCGCTCAAATACAATCCACCCTACTCCAACACAGCCAATCCAGTTCGACCCAGTGCATTCCAGCACAGCCAAAGTGCGCCCAATTGTATTAGCCCGCCGCAGTCCAGCCCAGCCCAGCTCAGTCGAACTCAGTTCAGCTTATGCAGGCTGCGCCAAGCTCGGTCCAGTTCAGTCCAGGTCAATGCGACTCAGTTCGTCTCAACACAGCTCGGCAGACCAATATAGAGCACGTGTAGTAAAGCAGACCCACATAGGATGTGTGTCCGCTCAGATCAATATTGCAGCAGGGACAGGCAAGGAGAATGAGCAGGAGGGGAAAAGGAGCCACACAAAAAGAGAGGGTGGATGATCGTGCAGCAGGCCGAGGAACCAAGTAGGAACAGGAGCAGCGAGAGGTGTGACGGCAGCGTCGATATCGACACCAGCTTCAGCAGCGACCAGCGACCAGCGGGATGTGGAGCAACAGGGCCCCTGTCACCCCTGTCCTTCCCCCACCGTCCCCCAGCCTCGTTTCCGCGGGGGCAACATCTCTCCCACCGACAAACCCGCACCGGATGCTCGCCCTGCGGCAAGTGGCCCGCGAGCGTCTGCGACGGGCCCTCGAAGACACTTGTCCAGCCAGAAGGGCGCGCCTTGGGCCCGACAACTGCTGCGACGGACAGCTGGTACCCCTCGACGAGCCACGGGGCGGACACCACGGCGGACCCTGAAGCCGTGCGCTTCGCTCGGTTCCGCCCGTAGAGAAGGGAATACGCATCGCGGAACAGCGAGAGGTTCCTGTAGCTGTTCAGCGGGGCCCCTCCAAAGGAAACGGCATGGGGCACGACCCACCAGGCGGGCGCACTCGCCAGGTGCGTCGGCTCGCACGCAAGGTAGTGCTGCAGGACACCTTCTAGCGACCAATGGGCATGTACCGTCTCGAAGTCCGCCAACCCCTGGTCGCTCGGGGTGAGAAGGCGTCTGCGATGATTGACGGTGCCCCTCCCCCTCTCCTCCATCCACCGAAGTCCGGAATCCCGTTTGAATGGGGGCCTGGGGGAGAGGGCCTGCCAGCTCCTCAAGCAAGACTCTGCCTGGCTTCCCGGAGGCTCTCAAAATTGCCGCGGGGCCCTGTTGGTTCTCAACGGGGCGCCTGAGTCAGCCCACGATGCTTCAAGATAGACTGCGACAGGCTCCGCCCTGGCCCCATGGCCCCGAGAAGACACCTGACGAGTCGTCTAGATGGGCCCGCGGAGAGACCTCCAGCGGCAAACATCGTCCACATCGTGGAACTGCTGTGAACCTACGCTTCAAGCTAGAACTGGTAGGCTCAGCATTGGCTCCAGCTGCTTTCGAAATGGTCCTCGAAACTCGCTCGAGGCCTTCATTCGGCCCAGCATGCGCTTAATATAGGCCTGATATTGCCCCAGGCTCCCAGCTGGGTCCCAAGTCTCTTCAATCTGACCCAAGAATGCGAGTTTCTTCAAGGCGTTCAGACTCTCACATATCGCCACCAATGGACGCCAAGAAACATTGGCAAGGTCCCAACGGGGCCCCAGAACACACACCCCATCGTAACAAGAGGGATGGTAAACACTTGCAGGTCCTGCTTCCTCATCCTGCTGCTGCTGCTCCTCGTCCTTCTCCTCCTCCCAACACGGACCCTGACAATAAGACGGCTGGTCGGGGAATGCCAATGCCTCCTTCCTCCTCCTCCTCCTCCTCCTCCTCCTCCTCCTCCTCCTCCTCCTCATCATCATCATCATCATCATCATCATCATCATCATCATCATCATCATCATCATCATCATCATCCTCATCCTCATCCATCATCCTCATCCTCATCATCCTCATCATCATCATCATCATCATCATCATCAGCATCAGCATCATCAGCATCATCATCATCAACACCACCAGCATCAGCATCATCATTGTCCTCATCTTGCGTCTGCTCCAACTTCTCCTCCTCCTCCTCGTCCTCCTCGTCCTCCTCGTCCTCCTCGTCCTCCTCCTTCCTCCTCCTCCTCCTGCTCCTCCCCTCCTCCTCCTGCTCCTGCTCTCCTCCTCCTCCTCCTCCTCCTCCTCCTCCTCCTCCTCCGGTACCCCTCCTTGTTTATGCTTCTTGGGGTTCGGCGGAATGAAATAAAATCCACTCGCCCACTAGGCTGAGGGGCGTGTGAGATTTACCTGTGAGAGCCCCTTTCAAGGCTTGCCCGCGTGTGCCGGGTGCGCCAGAATAAGAGGGCGGCCACGAATGGTGTGATGGGTGCGCTGAAATGAAGAGGCGGCCGCCATGCGGACGCTGCCATTGGGGACTTGACTTGGGTGGAGATCCATATGGGGCCACGAAGCGTGTGACGCATGTGCCAAAATGAGCGGGTGGCCGCCATGCGGACGCTGCCGCTGGGGACTTCGGAAGAGCTCGCTTTGGGGGCACGAAGCGTGTGATGAGTGTGCCGACATGCGGGAACAGCAGCCATGCGGACGCTGCCACTGGGGACTTCCCTGGACCTCCCTATAGGACCACGAAGCGTGAGGGGTGTGCTCAAATTGGGGGGCGGCCGCCGTGCGGATGTTGCCACCAAGGACTGCGGTTGCTCTTTCTCTGGGGCCATGAAGTGTGTTAGGGATGTGACGGAGTGAGGGGGCGGCCGCCATGCGGACTCTGTCACTGGGGCCTTGAGTTGAAGTCTCTATGCGGCCACGAAGCGTGTGAGGGGAGTGCCGAGATGAGGGGGCGGCCGCCATGCGGACGCTGCCACTGGGGACTCCCCTGGACCTCCCCATGGGGCCACGAAACGTGAGGGGTGTGCCGAAATGAGGGGGCGGCCGCCGTGCGGATGTTGCCACTAGGGACTTCGGTGGTTCTGTCTCTGGGGCCACGGAGCGTGTGAGGGGCGTGCCGACATCATTATGGGGCCACGAAGCGCGAAGGGTGTGCCGAAAAAGGGGTGGCCGCCGCGCGGACGCTGCCACTGGGGACGGCGATGGATCCCCCTGTGGGGTCACGGAGTGTGTGCGGGGCGTGCCGACATGCGGGGGGGGGGGGGGGGCGGCCGCCATGCGGACGCTGTCGGTGGGGCCTTTGGTTGAGGTCTCTATGCGGCCACGCAGCGTGTCAGGGGTGTGCCGGCTTGGGAGGGCGGCCGCAATGCGGATGCTGCCACTGGGGCCTTCTGTGGAACTCCCTGTGGGGCCAGGAAGCGTATGGGGGGTACTGATGGCACTGATGATGAGGATGACGCTGATGGTGATGCTGCTGATGCTGACGTTGATGTGTTCGCTGTGCGTGATGGTGGCGATGAGTTTGGCTATCTCTATGATGATGACGGTGATGATAATGATGATGATGATGATGATGATGATGATGATGATGATGAGGAGGAGGAGGAGGAGGAGGAGGAGGAGGAGGAGGAGGAGGAGGCGGCTGATGGATGTGATGGCGATGATGGTGATGTTGATGGTGATGATGGTGATGATGATGAAGAGGAGGATCACGGTGACGATGATGACGATGCTGATGATACGGATGATGCTGATGGTACGAATTGTGATGATGATGAGGAGGACGGTGGTGATGAGGAAGATGGTGCTGATGATGATGATGCTGATGTTGATGCGGATGCCGATGTGATGATGATGATGATGATGATGATAATGCTAATGATGGTGATGCCGATGTGATGATGATTGTGATGATAATGATGATGTTGGCGATGATGGTAATGCTGATGATGCTGATGATGCTGATGATGATGAGGAGGGTGATGGTGGTGATGATGACGACGATGACGATGCTGATGGTCATGATGATGATGCTGCTGATGATGATGATGATGAGGATGAGTATGATAATGATGATGGTGATCCTGATGATGATGATGATGATGATGATGATGAGGATGAGGATGATGATGACGACGATGAGGATAAGGGAGAGGGCAGAAACGAGGAGAGGGGTCAGCAGGAGGAGGAGACGCGGAGCGCCGCTGATCCGAAACATGACCTCAACACCACGGGACGGTTTGGGGGGAAAGGGCCCCCAATAGAGTACCAATATGGCCCCAGGATGCCTCCAAGAGGCTCGCAGAGTGAAATGTGTGCGAGGGAATTCATGGTTCACTGCTGACGTCGTCGTCCTCCTCCTCCTCCTCTTCCCCGTCCTCGTTATGCCTTCGGCGTCTCCCCCTTCCTCCTTCCTCCACCTCCTCCTCCTCCTCCTCCTCCTCCTCCTCCTCCTCCTACTCTTGCTCCTCCTCCTTCTCCTCCTCCGCCTCCTTCTCCGCCCACTTCCCTCATCCTCCTCTCTCTTTTCTCCGTCCTCCTTCTACGGTGTCTTCTCCGCATGCCCCTGATCCATCGACAGCAGGCTCTACAAGTGATACTTTCAGGTTGATTCCGAGCTTTGTCTTGACCGCTGACTAACCTGTCCGTTCCAATAGACGCTCCTACACCTTCCTGGTCGTCTGGCGATCGTTTCTGGAGTAGCTGGTGGATAAGCGAAGCGTGGAGAATCTCTTGTCGCTCGGGGAGCTCACTGGGGCCAAACCAGCCCCGGCTGCAATGGGGCTCGGGCAAAAAACGGGGATGCTCGGGCTTGGGTCATCTATAAGACCTCCTGGGCCCCCTCGGGACTTTCTGGGTCTCTTCTTAATCAATTTGGGGTGCGCCTTGGGCCGTCTCGAGCAGTTTGGAATCGTCTTGGGGCTGTATGCTGGCCTCCTGCGTGCCGTCTTGGACTTCGTTCGGCACGCGTGCCGCCCATCTTGGGGCCATATTCCCCTCGTCCGGCGAACACTAGACACTAGAAGGGCGGGCGGTGAACGGAAAGCATTCTGAATAGGCCTCTGGCCTCGCGGAGTACGACCTGTTGGCAGGGGGGCGATGCGGGTTGTGCAACGGGACTGGCAGCGTCCCGCCTGAGAACAGCGCCCGGCCGAAGCGGTCGCGGCAGCCCCCGTGGCAGGTGATCCCGAGCCTCCGGAAGCAGGAGCCCAGGACGACGTCGTCCCAGTGGCCCAGGAAGAAGTCGCAAGAGGCAGAGTAAAGGAACTCGGCGGGGAACGCATCCTCCCGTGCCATCCTGGCCAGCTCCAGGTCTCGCTCCGGATCTCGGTTCGTCTGGCGGTCCCGTACTCGGAGCTGCAGGTAGTCCGCCAGCACGCGGAGCGCCTCCTGGGTCAGGCAGATCCCCGCAGCGCCGTCCGGGTGCTCGCCGAAGGTGTCCCTCCCACGCTCGAGCGGAAGGCCCAGATAAAAGACATCGCTCCTCGAGATTGTGTGAGCCATCAGGTAGGCAATCAGATTTTCGATGATGAAGACAGAATCCAAATCAAAACGACAAAACACATCCGCCTGCTCCATGCGCACTGCGGCAGTAAAGAGCCACATGTACAAGTCCTTCTGAATTGTGTTTCCGAAAAATGTCTTGTCGAGGGTTTGCGACTGGTTGCCCCAACCACCGGCGAACTCCCCATCCGGGACCAAGTCGGGGAACATTCGCCGTAAATTCACGACCCTGACGCCCGCTACTTCATCCAAGTCGTACGGGTCTCCTCCCCTGTCCTCCACCGTTGCCTCGGCCGCCACGTACGCCTCCGACCAGCAGCAGTGCCTCGCGAACGTCCGCCCCATGGCCCGCAGCTGCTGCAGCTCCTGCGGGAGGACTGCATGGAACAGGCAGGCCACGCACGGCGGGGCGGGCCCGCCAGCGCTGCCGCCGACGATGTCTTGCGCCCAGCGCCGAGAGAAGTCCGCATCGTGCGCAAGCATCTCCGCATCGCAAGCCCGTGGCCCCAGGCCTGCGTGGGCAAGCCCAGGCAGTGTCCGCACAAGGTCCACAGCAGGACTGCCTGGACCCAAGCAACCATCGAAAAGGCTCAAATGCATCGCTTCGTGGGTGTACTGCCTCGCAGTGTCTGGCTCGCCGATCTGCACTGCCCGCGTCGCACATAGAACCGCCGCCACGATGGCCTGCAGCAAGCATGGCCCGTCCTGGCGAAATCGTAGGGCTTGCCGTTGCTCCGACAGCCATGCGCCAGGCTCGCGGCAGTCGACGCCTTCGATTGTGCTTGACGATAGAATGTGCTTCGTGATCACGGTCGAGGCCTCCGCCAGGGCACCACAAATGCCGCCTTGGTCTTCGCAGCCGCATCCCGCGAGGCAGCGTCCTGTTGGCGGCTGGTGCCCCCATGGCATAGAAGGTTGGCGCAACAGCACTGCGGCTGTGATAGAACTTGCTATCCGCCACCGCGGCCCCTGGCACATTGAACGCACGGTAGAATGCGAAGTGCTGTCTGGTACAGTGGAGGCCAGTCTTCAAGAAACCTTCCGCAAGAATCCCAACCCTGAGACCCCAGAACGTCCATTCATGCTTTGTGTGGGAACGTCACGCTTTCCAATGCAAAGCCATCTAAACCCAAGTTTTGCCAGGGCACCCTGTAAGCAAGCAGGGTGTTTCTTGGCATGGGTCTCCACTGTAGGGCTTCTGTACCTTTCAAAGATCCGACCCCTTTCAACCCGGAGTGCCCCCGTCCTTCCCGAGGCTCGCTGGGCCGCCCCGAAGCTTCCAAGACGGCCCACGTCGGCTACCAAGGCCGTCAAAGTGGCTGAAAACCGCTGCAAGGCGCACCCGGGACCCCCTCAGAAGAGTTGAAAAGGTCCCAAGAGGCCTCCGCAACAAAAACCAAAGACACTCCCCTGGCTGGCCCCGAGAAAAACAAGAACATCAGTATGCCATTGGCTACTCAATGTGTTTCGCTTCCATGCTCCCCGGTCCAACCCAAGAGAGCCCAGAGAGAGCACAGGATGGCCCCACGACGGCCCAAGAGGACCGCGAGGTGCCCAGCGACTGCCTCACGGGAGCCCCCCAAAAAGCCACGAGACGGCCCTAAGACGCCCCGTGGATGCAAAATGTGTCACGTTGGCCGGCCTTGCGGGCGGTGCTCGAAAGGTCGGCACACATAACAGGGGATATGTCGACCCCTATCCCAGGCTTCGTGGGGTTTCCGAATGGACCAGAAATTTGGGGCCTAACCCTGGGATATACGATGGGGGGGTGTCCATTCTCGATAGGGGTGCGTCCGAATAGCCCCCTTGGGGTGTATCCCAGGGTTTTCCCATTCTTCTGAGCGGCCAGACTTTTCGGGCGAAACTCGGGGATTGGGGGAGAAACATCGCCCGCGAACACAGAGTACTTCGCCAACACGGTGGCGGATGTGCCGCAGACGCCTAGAAAGCAGCACCAGATCCGATTCGCTTTTTGCTGCCGGGAGAAAGCGACGACGGACACAATTGTGCTGCATCGAGCGATCCCCACCGAAACCTGCGGCGAGTGATCCCGAAGGTGCGCGCGCTCATCGGAACGATGTGCGCGGGGCGCGGTGGTCTCGGCCAGTGCGGCGGTTGAACCATGTCACAAGTTGCCGTTCTCCTGACGGAAGAAGCCGAAACGAGCTCTTGGGCGAGGCAACGTATGCTCTGACATGTGATGACATCGTGTGACATGTCATGGGCAGTTACGTTATAATATGCTATGTTGTGTATGCTTTTCCTGCTTGGAATAATGTGTGGTGTTCTGGTGTGGTATGCGTGCTCCGCTATGCCATTGCGTGCGTTGTTATCTGATGCGTCCGGTCAGGTCCTGCTATCACATAGTGTGAAATCTTGTGCGCTGCTACATTGTGGTGTTATGACATAGTATGCCAGAACAAGATATGCTGTGTTAGGCCGCGCTCTGTCATGGTATGATGCGTCATGGTATGGACTACTGTGTGCTGTGACATTGTGCTTCGGTGTGATATGTTCTTCCATTGTCTGCTTTGATATGAGATGTTCTGCCATGGTGTGTCATAGTATGCTCCATTGTGCTGTGCCGTCAGGGGTGGTGTTATGCTATGGGCATTGTGACCAAGTATGTCATTGCTTCTGGTGTTATGATATGTTATGCACTGCTATGATATAGCACTTTATGTCGCGCTCTGTCATGTTATGCTGTGTCATGGTACGTAATGATATGTGATGTGATGTTGTTTTATGTCGTGGTTTGTTCTGCCATGGTATAGCATGCGATGAACTGCTATGCCATCCTATGTTACGATATGCTATGTTATGTATGCTCCAGCCTGTCATAACATGCGTTGTTACGCTGTGTTGTGCTCTGACATGGTACGTCATGGTATGCGTTGATGTGTTATGGTATGCTTGAGTTGTCATGTTATGTACAGTACTGGTATTTGTTGTGATGCTGTGCTATTGTATGCACTGCTCTGTCATGGTGTGTTATGTTATGCTCGGATCTGTTCTGTTCGGCAGTGTGGTGTTATGCTCTTTTCTGTGGGGGACCTGGGGATCTGGCGGCCGTGGTATGCAGAGAAGGCGCGTCGGCGAAGGGGGCGGGACCCTCAAGGATTATCGGGGGACATAGGGATCTGGCGGCCGCAATATGCAGAGTGGGCGAGTCGGCGCGGGGGGGCGGACCACCAGGGATTATCGGGAGCCTGGGTATCTGACGGCCGCGGTATATAGGGCGGAGGCAGGGCGGCACCACCAAGGATTATCGGGAGCCAGGGGATCTGGCGGCCGCGGTATGCAGGGCGGGGGAGTGTCGGGAGCCTGGGGATCTGGCGGCCGCGGTATGCAGGGCGGGCGGGCCGGGAGGTCTGTTCTTAAAACTAACGACCCAACCTGTCGGGCGGGGAACAGCTATCGTAGACGAACGGCTGATACGTCTCGGAACAATCGCCAGACGAACATCCGCCAAGATAGTGACTGGACGAATGCGCGGGACTGATGGCCAGACTCATGCACGAGACTAACTGCTGGACTCAATGCCGTACAAAGCGGTGAACTCCACTCTGGGCCAGAATACTCAGGGGCGCTCCAGATCTTCTTCCCTGACCGCCCGCCTCTGGAAGATCCCCGGCCGCGCGAACAGCGTCCGCTCTGGACGCAAACTCGCGCTCTGGATCTCTCTAGGGCATGCAGGCGGTTCTGGATCACACTTGAGCGCCTAATTGTTGCGCGCTGAGTGTCCACCTGAGCTTCCAGGCAAAGCAGCGATTCTGCATATCGACAACTCAGAACCCACAGCGCTGGCGCATGCGTGCAAGCTTGCGCGCGGGCCTTGTACGTTACCCCATGTGTTGGGAAGGCGCGAACCACATGTTAAGTTGGGCATCCAGTTGGTTTGCGCCAAGGGTATAGTTGAGTTTCACAAGTCGCCCTCGCGCTTTTTGTTTTGACAACACAGAACACCCTTTCGCGCGCGTGCGTGCGCAGGCGCGCGCGCCATGTACATTCAGCAAGTTGATGGACATGCGAGAACAACATGTTGAAACAAACATAAAGTCCAAATGATGCGAGTAAGAGGTACGTCTTGAACATTTCAAGCAAAGACGGCCACATCTTCATTATGATACCGAATTTACTAGCGCGCGCGTGCTCGCGTGCGCATCTTGTGCGTTGAGCAAGATGACAGACATGTGGAAACCACAGCGGTGCGATCTAAAGGTTCGGCTCCCCCGGCCAAGCGCTGCAACTTCTTCAGTTCGACAATGCAGAATCCACTCGCGGACGCGTCTTATGCGCAGCACCGTATAGCGAACACGTGGTACGTAGAACGTACACGTGACAGCGGCATCTCAAATTGGAAATCCAAGTGATGCGCGCGCCGAAGGCGAATTTGAGCTTCGAAGGCCACAGTCGGTGCTTCTGCTTTTCGGTTATCCAGAACTCAATGACGTGCGCGCGCGCAAGCCACCCCTCCCGCACCTTCGCCTCCTCCTCCTCCTGCTACTTTGCCTCCCTGCTCTCCCTTGCGCCCACGATATCTCCGCACCCGTACTCTTGAGATTCAACGATTTCCTCTCTTCTAGCAATGAGCTGGCAGCTGCATAATAGTTTGCCTGCAATCTTCTTGCATTCGTAGCACTTCCGTTAGATCCTCTTCTTGCTCTCATATGTGCCGTGGCGAAAAACCTCCATGAAGAGGTATTTAGGGTTTATTCCTTCTGTTCTAAGGAACTAGGCCTGTATGCCGCCCTGGCGGCTATGTAGCCGCCGTCGCCGCCTAGTCGCCACACGTCGCATGGGCCTGTCTCCCTCTCTGGCGGCTGTGTAGCCGCCGTCGCCGCCTCGTCGCCGCCCGCCGTCGGGGCCCGTGTGTCAATCTGGCGGCTATGTAGCCGCCGTCGCCGAGCCGTCGCCGCTTCGTCGCCACCCGTCGTCTGGGCCAGTCTGACGCCCTGGCGGCCATGTAGCCGCCGTCGCCGCCCCCTCGCCGCCTCGTCGCCGTCGTCGCCGCTTGTCGCCGCCGTTAGGTTGCACCACGTAGATTGCACGACACATTTTGTACAACCTAGATTGTGCAACATAGGTTGCTCCACATATGCCATGCCACATATACTGCCCCACACGGATGGCACAACATGTGTATAATATATACCTATATATATATATATATACACATACATACAAATATATACATATATATATATATGTATATATACATATCGCAGATAGTAGATTTCACTACGTTGATTGCACCACATTCTTTGCACAAGATAGCTTGTTCCACGTAAGCCTCTCTCTCTATATATATACATATATGTATATATATATACATTTTTATACATATATATATATATATAGATACACATGTATATATGTGTGTAGTGTCTCCTCAGCGCGCCAGCCAAAGCAAAGTTGAGCAACGTCGTAATTGAGTCGAAGGGATGCCCCTTCCCTTCGATCCCTCCCCCGCCGAGGGGGGGGGTCCCGCGGGGGGGGGGTCAGACGCCCCGCCTGGGAGTGCCGGAGCCCAAAAAAGCCCCAAGACGGGCCAAGAGTGCCCCAAGAGGCCCCAAAGACAGTCCAAGAGAACCCCGAATCGCCGAACGATTTGTCCAAGACGCCTCGACGGCCTCCAGACGGCCCAAGAGGCCTGCAAAGCGCCCCAAGAGGCCTCCAGGAACTTTCCCACGAGAGCCCCAAGAGACAAAAATCATGGATTTCCCATACGTTTTTGGAAGATTTTGGCGTTCTTGCCCCTTCCGCTTCCCGACGCGCCAAGACGGCCCAAGAGGCCCCCAAGATCGCCCCGAGACGGCCCAAGAGGCCCCCAAGAGGGTCCCCTAACGGCCGAAGAGGGCCCCAAGACGGCCCAAGACGCCTCCAAGACGGCCAAAGAGGCCCCCAAGACGGCTCCAGGAGAGTGCCCAGACGGGGGACCCGAACGGAC